AAGGGAAGAGGAAGATAGGGAGGAAGGGGAAGAGGAAGAAGAGGAAGGGGGAAGAGGAAGAGCAGTGGAAGGGGAAGGAGATTAGGGTGAAGAGGAAGGAGATGAAGGTGAAGAAGGGGAAGGTAAAGGGAAGGGGAAGATGGAAATGGAGATGGAGAAGAAGGGGATGGAAAGAAATGGGGAGAGAAGGGAAGAAGGGAGAAAGGGCAAGAAGGAAGAGGAGAAATGGGATGGGGAAGGAGGAGAAGGGGAAGAAGATGAAGATGGGGATGGGGAGGAAGGGAAACAAGGGGAAGAATGGGAAGGGGATAGGGAGGAAAGGGGCAGGGACAGGGAGGAAGGGGTCAGGAAGGAAGAGGGGAGGGGAAGGAAGGGGCCTCTCCTCGCCTCCCACCCAGCAGCATTTCCCGTCCCACTCCAGCCACCCCTGCAGGGCTGGGCCTGATTTCCCAGCCCCAATGCCAGCATTCCATGTGGGACCAGGTTGTCCATTCCCAGCACTCTCCACAGCCCCCAGTGGGACATTCCCACCATGCCGACTGCTCTGCACTGCAAACCAGGTTCACACTCCTGTGCTGACCAAACACACCCCAATTTTCAAGCCTTTGCCCCCCGGGTTGAGCAGTGGGAAGGGTACCCTACACCCTCCTGGTCCTCCACATCAAGGACGTGCCACCCAGCACCCAAGGGTGCTCAGCTTCCCTCCAGGTCATCCTCGTCCCATCATACCTGGGGGATGCTGCGGTGCCCCCCCTTCCCCGGGACGTGGGGATCCTCACGCCGACACCGCGGTGCCACTCACCCGACCTTCGGCACAGCAGGAGGAGGAGGAGGAGGAGGAGAACCGCGTGTGCCGCCGCCCTCCCACCCGGCAAGCACGGGCAAGTCGGCGGCGCGACGGCCGGCGGGCAGGAGCCGGAAGATGAGTGGGAGCCAGGCCCTGCCCCATCTGGGAGCAGGGAAAACGCCGCCTCTGCCAAACCCCGAGCTGGTTTCACCACCATGACCCGTTCCCTGCAGGGGAAAGCACCTCGTGGCAGGTGGGAGACGCAACCCCTCCGGATGAAATCCCTCTTTGCCGAGCCAGAGGAAGGCGTGCGGGGTGGAAAACACCGGCTCGGCACCAGCAACTCTGCAGTGCGCTGGATCAGAAAAAGCCCTTTTTATACCCAAAACTTTCAAGCTCTCCCGCTATCCCGCTGCCTCCCCGGGGGTTGGAGCCGCTGAGTCAGCACCGGCACTGCTGAGTCATCGCAGCCACCTCAGCCCCAACGCCAACCGGCTCCGCGATGAGCTCAGCGTGGGGGCTTCGGCATCGCCACGCTCACCACCGCTGCTGGGAGGCTTTTGCCAGCACCTCTGCCAACGGTTTTCGGATCTCACCAGCCTCTCCCTGCTAAAATCTCACCCGTGCCCAAAACCACAGCAATTGGCATCGCCTTGAATCCAAGGAAACCCGACCGACAAAGGGTGAGGGAGCCAGGGAAGCCGGTGGCGTTTACACTCTCCCACCCTCCCACCGGTGCTGGGGTCCTCTCCGAAAACACCTCATCCAGGACCACCCACCACCCATCTCCTCCCAGAAGAGGAACGGGGAACGATGAAAGATGAGAAAAACAAAGTGTGACTGTGCCTTTTCTTTCCCCCCCTCGCTCGGGTCATCGGCACCGCAGGGAAAGCGCCGCCGCCTCCGGCTTCCCCAGCCCGGTGACGGGGCTGGTGACTCACGGCAAGGAGGGGGGGAAGCAGCGCGTGCACGGGGCCCTCGTGTTTGTAAACCTAAAAAAAGCCATGTGCAGGCAGGCAGCGTGGTCTGCAGGGCAGGGAGCCTCTTCTGGAGGGCAGGGAACGTGCTCTGGAGGGCAGGGAATGTGGTCTGGCGGATCAGGAGAGCGCTCTGGAGGGCAGGCAGCGGGATGCCGGTGTGCTCTGGGGAGAAGGCAGTGTGCTCCCAGTATGCTCCCAGTGTGCTCCAGAGGGCAGGCAGTGTGTTCTCATTGTGCTCCAGAGGGCAGGCAGTGTGACCCAGACAACAGCAGTGTGCTCCCAGTCTGGTCCACAGGGCAGGCAGTGTGATCCCAGTGTGCTCCCAGGTGTGCTCCAGAGGGCAGGCAGTGTTTTCCAGAGGGCAGGCAGCGTGCTACCAGTATGCTCCAGAGGATAGGCACCATTCTCCCAGTCTGGTCCAGAGGGCAGGCAGTGTATTCCCAGTTTGCTTCAGAGGGCGGGCAGTGTGATCCCAGTGTGCTTCCAGTGCAATCCAGACACCAGGCAGTGTGCTCCCAGTGTGCTCCATAGGACGAGTAGTGCGATCCCAGTGTGCTCCATAGGACGAGCAGTACGATCCCAGTGCACTCCCAGTGTGCTAGGACAAGCACTGCAATCCCAGTGTGCTCCCAGTGTGATCCAGAGGACAAGCAGTGCAATCCCAGTGTGCTCCCAGTGTGCCCTGGAGGGCAGGCAATGTGATGCCACTGTGATCCCAGTGTGATCCAGAGGACAAGCAGCATGATCCCAGCGTGATCCAGCACCAACCACCCCAACCAGGCAGGCTCACGGAGGCGCCCGGAGGAGCCGGCACCGCTACGAGAGCTGGTGCTGCGCTGGCGCTAATTAAGTGCCAGGGCTTTAATTGCAGCAGCGTTAATTGGCGCGGATTTAAGCGGGAGGGCTTTAACTGCAGCAGCTCCAACAAAACGGTCTGAAGTGCAGAGGCTTTGACTGCAACACCACCAGGCTCTGAGAGGCTCAGAGGGTCTTCAGAGCCCCTCGCCCTGCCGCTCCTCCTCCCCGTTCTGGACCCCAGCGCCTCCCGCTGCAGCTCCCAGGGTGCTGCTCCATCCTTTCCATGTTTTTCCAGGCTGAGAATCGGGGCTGTGATGAGCAGGGCAGTGCCACCAGCCCTGTGGTGACAAACCCCTCCATCCATCACACCCATCACACCCATCCCAGACCTGCAGTGACACCTGCAGCAATCACAACTTGCTCTGACCCATTTGGGGGTTTTTTATGGCATTTTCAGGGCTTGGGGTGGCTCTGAGGGTTTTTTTTCCCCTCATTTGGCTGCGCTGGGAACTGCAGGCTGTGGAGCTCGTGGTCCCCAGCTCCCCCCTTCGACAGCAAAATCTCATTTAATCAAAAGATGCGGCGACTGGATGTGCAGAAGCACTTGGCTCTCTCGCTTTTTTTTTTTTCCCCTTCAGAACTGCCATTTTAGCTGTAGCAAACAAACACACGGCATTGTCCCCACGACACGGTTCCCTCTGGCAACCCTTCCTGCAAACCCTGGGGATTTTGGCCCTGGGACACAGGAGCAAATTGGCACTGGCAGTGGTGTGGTGGGCAGATGTGGAGCGGGGACGGGGCTGAGAGCAGCTGTTTCACCTCCAGCCTCTTCCCGTTTCATTTCATCTCCCCTTGGATGCTGGCCCAGGGAGCGGGGGGAGGAATAAAAACAGCTCTTTCATCCTCAAAAACGGTCTGGCACCCTCTTGCACGGAGCTCCAGGAACGGGATTAACGCGCTGGCACAGCAGGGGACGGGGGGGTCTCACAGTGGGGCTGGGTTTGGGGGGCATCCCGGCCTCATCCCAATCCAGGGGGGACAGCCAGGGGATGACAGCACTGTCATTCCATTGGGAAGGCTCTCTGCCTCTCCAGAGTGAGGGACACAGAGGGAGCAGGGAATGGGGGCAGGGAAAGCTGGCACATGGAGGCAGGGGACCGAGGACCCAACGTCCAGGGACAAGGAAAAGGGACCCTGCACATGCAAGGAGGAGACTGGAAACCTTAATGGCATGGGAATGGGGACTGGGAATCCTGCACATGCATGGAGGGGCCTGGGGACCCCAATGGCACGGGCATGGGGACCCCAATGGCATGGGAATGGGGACAAGGGACCCTGCACATGCATGGAGGGAAATGGGGATCCCAGTGGCATGGGAATGGGGACAACGGATCTGCACGTGCAGGCAGAGGATTTGGGACCCCGAAGGCATGGGATTGGGGACCCCAGTGGAATGGGAACTGGGAAAAGGACCCTGCCCATGCGTGGAGGACTGGGGATCCCATGGGAATGGGGAGAGAGGACCCCTGAACATGCAGGGAAAATACTGGGGATTCCAATGGCACAGAAATGGGGACAAGGCACCTCTGAACATGCAGGGAGGAAACAGGGACACCGAGGCTGCAGAAACAAGGAGCAGGGACCCCAGTGTGCACAGGTGGAGGACAAGGGACACAGCTGCCATGGGAATGGAGACACTGGGATAAGCAGGGGTCCAAGGACCCTGGTGCAGTGGGGAGGGGGACCGGGAAACTCCGGCACATGGGAACGCCAATGCCATGGGAACAGGGACACCCACAGGGACACCCACAGGGCACACAGGGACTGAGGGCCCCGGTGCCACAGGGATGGCACCACACACAGGGAGGGACCCTGATGACAAGGGAGTGGGGACTGGGAACCCTGGCACGTGCAGGAAGGAGTCCAAATATCCCGATGGACAGGGACCAGGGACCCCAACACATGCACAGTGCCAGAGGGAGGGGAACCGGTCACCCTGGTACACGTGGGCTGGGGACCCTGGTGCCATGGGGACAAGGATTAGGGACTTCAGCACATGCAGAAAAGGGATTGAGCATCCTGATGTCATGGGAACAGATGGGGATTTCAGCACATGCAGACAGGAGACTGGGACCCCCAATGGCATGGGGACAAGGATTAGGGACCTCAGCACATGCAGATAGGGGACCAGGGACAGCTCACTCTCAGCATGCCAGCAGTGCCAGGGACACCCCAGGAAAGGCTTTTTGGGACACAGACCTGTAGCACAACCACAAATCCCAGAGCCACCACGCCACCACTTCGCCATCCCCATTCCCAGTGGGGCCAGCAAAACCGCACCAGGAAAGGCCAAAATCTTGGGGAGGGGGGCACACATTTTGCCTTCTCCCAGACCCCATCACCTCCTCCTCAGAGCCACCTCCCCCCTCGATTACCTGCCACGAAGAGTCCATGCCGGCGATCCCGAGAAACGAACCTCGAAAAACAAACCTAACGAGGTGCCAAAGGCCGCGAGCGGGGCTCGTTTATGGGGCCCCCATAACAACCTGACCCCAGAGGACTCTGCTCCCGGCCCTTCCCAGAATGATGCAACCTCGGCGACGCTCAGCGCACCCCGGCACCCACCAGCCCATCAGCCACCAGCCACCAACCACCCCGGCAGCTGCCGTGGGGCTCTAGGATTCCTCTCTTTCCCCCAAAGCGCCGGAGGCAGCTCCGGCGTTGGCGGGTGCCAGAGATGTTTCAGCATCCCTGGATCCCCGCGGAACACGTGGTGCCGGAGCCCGCTCCTCACCGCCAACTCCAAACTTCGGCCACGCGTTCTGGCGACGCGTGACCTCGGCGATGTCCCCTCGGTGGTGGCGGTGGTGGTGGCGGTGTCCCCGTCTGCCACCAAACCACCGCTGGCGGCACCGGGACGAGCCGAGGCGCAGGCTCGGCGGGTGAATGAGACCCTGCCGAGGAGGACAAGCCGGTTTTTCTGCCCACCTCCATCCCCGGCGTGACGGAAAGCGGGGGGTGCCCTGGCCGGACCCCGAGTCCTCGTCACGGCGAGGGATGTGACAGCTGCCACCAGCACGGTGACGTCAGCGTGACGTCACGCCGCGGGGAGCCTCATCGCCCTTGTTTTCGCATCATCACCTCTGAGCTCAGCACATTTCGGCGACTGGGCGGCATCGGTTAATAAATAACAATAATTAGTAAAGGCCACAAGCATGTGGGGTAATGCAAATGGGAGGGGGGGGGCACCTTAGGGCTTGTCCCCCTCCCGTCTCCATCCGGCCCCCACACAGCCCCCCCCACCCCCGCGAAGCGATGCTGCAGGGGAAGGAAAAGGGATTAAAGAAGAAAAACAGCCCCAAAGCGGGGGAAGGGCCGTGAGTGTCCCCCGGCCCTGCCGCTTTGTCCTCGCGGCCCCGCGGGGCCGCCAGCACCGGGGGAGGGGGGTGGGCTTTAACCTCACCCGCACCGCCCCGCATGCCCCGAGAGGGGGGTATTTTTCTTTGAGGGGGTGTTTTGCGGGTGCGGACAGGGGCGTTTTTTGGAGGGGAAGGGGTGCTCTTACCTCGCCGCGGCCCCCGCGCTGCCCCCGCAGCCCCCGCCGGCCCCGCTCGGCGCCGGCCCTCAGGAGGAAGCCATCTTGTCTCCCTCTCCGCCGCGCTCCCTCACCGCCGCCCCGCCGCAGCCGGGGGGGGGAATGGGCGCCGCATCCCCGCTCCCCCCCTCTCCTCCTCCTCCTTCTCCTCCTCCTCCTCCTCTTCGCTCCTTCCTCCTCCTCTTTCTTCCTCCTCCTCCTCCTCCTCCTCTTTCCCCCCCACGCGCAGCCCCCCCCCCTCCCCACGCAGTGGCACCGCCCGCCCGCTACCTCCGCTGCGCAGGAGCAGGGCCGTGGGGGGGACCACGGAGGGGACACGGGGGTGGCAGGGAATGAGGGGGACACGGACGCGGCGGGGCCGCACGACCCCCCGCAACCCCCAAAAATGGGGTAACGGGACCCCCAAACCCAGATCGTTGTCCCCGGGAAACTGAGGAATGACGGGGGGGACACAGAGGAGGACACGGCGTGACACGGGAGGGACACGGACAAAGACGTGGGCACACGACCACCACCCCCAAAAAGTGGGGTAACAAACCCCCGTCATGTGTGTGATTGTCCCCGGGAAACTGAGGCATCACGAGGGGGACACGAGGGGGACACAAGGAGGGACATGGGGAAGGACACAGTGGGGAAAAGAGGGGGGTCACGGGGGGGACATGAGAGGGGATACCTGGGGGGACATGGGAGGGACACAAATTTTCCTGCCATTAAACCCCTGGCACCGTTGTTAGTTTAGGTACACTGATTTGGTGGGGTTCATTTGGGGTCACTGGTAATTTGGGGACATCAATAATTTAAGGGCATCGTTAATTTCAGGCCCTCATTAGTTTGGGGACATCACTAATTTGGGTCCCTCATCAATTTGGGGACATTGGAGCTTTGCAACATTTAAATTCCCCCTCCAAAGGATCTTCACTTCATCCATCTGCCCCCTTCTCCCTAAAATCCAGACCCCGGTGAAGGAAAGGGGGAGTGGGGAGTTTTCCCACGGGAAAAGCGGTGGGAATGTGCTGGCGAAAGGGTTAAGGCGGGACTGGATCCTTGAAACAATCCCAGTGGGATCAGCTCCGGCTTTTCCAACCCTTGTCTGGAGCTGGCAGGTCTCGCTGCGATGCACAGGAATATTTAGTAGGGTGGGAGAAGGAAAAAGGGGAGTGGGAAAGCAAATTCCCCTAAAAAGTACCCATCCAGGTGATGCTCCAGGAATGCTTGGAGCTTTCCAAGCCTATTCCTGGCCAAATTGCTGGCAAAACTGCTACAAATTGAAAATTCCCAAGGGTTTCCCAGGAGCATCCCGGTGCAAACTGTTTTTCCAAAGGGATTTGCTGGCAGAAGGAGCAATCCCAGAGCCTGTGTAGACGGATAAACCAGATCCCAAATCCAGGTGGAAAACACAAGCACAGACCCAACATCCCCATCCCTGAGACGTTCCCTGGAGCTCATCTCTTCCTAAAAAGGCCACACGTGAGCTGAGAGCTCTTTTGCAAAGCCGGAGCCCTCCGGGATCCGACCTTTGCTCCGAGCAACACGGCTCCCACGGGAATAAATAGGATAAACCGGTGCTGGGAACTGGTTTTCCCCCAGATTTCCAGCCTGGCACGACGGCTGCAAAGCCCCTTTTTCCCGGCCCAGCTCGGCTCTGCTGTGCAACAAGTCCCTGCCAAACCCACGGCAGGGATTTCATTCCTCCCACCCTCCTCCTCCTCCTCCTCCTCCAGCCGGACCATCCATGGGACTTGCTCCCGAGGAATTTTAGCTGTTCCCATCACAACCCAGAGCTGAAATACTCCCAGCAAAGACATGAACACTCCAGATTATCCAGGAACATCCTGGGTGACGTCCTGCAGGTGACATCAGGATGCGCTGGACAGAAACAACCAAACCCCAGCTGATCCTTCATCCCACCCATCACCCCTGTGCTTTTTTTGGAGATGCCAGACACGTTTTGGGGTGATTTCAGGCTGGTGGGGAGAAAAAAAATCCCACCTCAAGCCTCCAGGGAAACCCCTCGAGATAGACAAATTTAGTAACTTTTATTAGTAATGCTTTAAATGAGATTATCCCTAATCTCCGGCGTTCGGCTCCGAGACAGCCTGCCAAACTCAGGCTGAGGAGTTCATTTCCCAGCGCCGGGAATGCACCGGGGATGAGCTGCATCCCATCCCACCACCTTCCAAAAACGGAGTTTGGGGGGTCTGGTGTGACCATTCCTGCCAGGAATAGAGTTTTCCTTGGGGTTTATTTCAGGTTTGTCCCCCCCAAAAGCTCAGGGAGATGGGTCGGAGCATCCTCCCCTCCGGCAGTCCCGGTCTTTGCCTGGCAGTTTGGGCGGACACCGAGGCTTTGCCAGGTATTCCGTGGAATTAACGAGAGGGTTCCCAAGATGTTAATTAGTTATGCAAATGGGAAAGGCATCCAGAGCCGCCTGGGAGGGCAGGAGAGGGTCCAGCAATGCCACAGGACGGGGAGCAAAGCAAAACCTTGACCTCTGGTATCTTCCCTCCTCCTCCTCTCCCAAACCCTCTGGATGGGGATGTGCGGAAAACAGACCCCAAGGGAGGCTGCAGGAGCTCGGATGCAGCGATGGAGGGACAAGGGGAGATGCCAGTTTTCCCAGGCCCAGCTGAGCCAGAGGAACTGGTGGAACTGGTGCTGGGAAGGGGCTGGCAGCCCGGCCGGCTCCGTCTGCCAAACCACCCCAGGAAAGGCGCCGGGACGTGGGAATGGTGGCACGCCCCTCACTCGGCCAGCCTGGAGCGGGCAGGGACCCACTGGCACTTTGATTCCCAGGGGGAATCCCACCACTGCGGGCCCCGGCTCCGGCAACATCCTTATAAATCACCTTGTTTAGCACATTCTGCACGGAAAAGTGTCCTGGGCAAACCCTCGCCACCGGCCGCGTTCACCGGCGCTCTGCCGAGGGCAAAGTCCTTCCCCGGCCCTGCCATGTGCCAAGTGCCAGCCGAGCCACCTGTCTCCACGTCCCCACCGGCCCATCCCACCATCCCGAGGGAAAAACCCGTCGGACTCAACTCGGAGGCGCAAGGCTCAACCCCCGCAACACCCCCCGAAGAGCCGAGCGGCGGCAGCAAATTTTGGGGTGGCAAAGCGCCAAAAAAATCAACCCCCCCTCACGCAGATGTTCCTCCCTCCCACCTCTCCAGCTGGAGACCCCACAGCTGGAGCAGCCCCCCCCCCCTTCCTTCCTCCGTGTCTCCTGCGTGGGCACGACGGGCACGGAACTGAGAGATCCCGGTTCCAACCACCCCGGCCGGTAAAACCAGAAGTGCCGATGGAAGGCGTTGGAATTTTTGGCGGAGAAAATGCCAAGACTTGTTAGCTCGGTGATGCTCCCCCACCCCGGGCACGGCTCTGCCCTCCCCTCCCTGCCACCCCCTGCTTTTTGGAGGACCCCCCCGACGGCCCCTGGATGGGTTTCACGCAACAGTTTTACTCTTTTATATCAAGACATTCCGAGAAATTCAATGTAAAGGTGGGTTTTGTCCCGCACATCCCACGGGCGGTGTTTTGGGAACGCCCCAGGGACGATCTGAGATTTTTTTTTTTTTTTGGGGAGGAGGGAGGAGGTTAAAACATCAAAGCGGCTTTTAAGGCAGCAGAAAGTCCCATTTCTCAGGGAAATACCCTTAAAAAAATAAACCCATCAACCAACCAAGAAGGGGCTTTCCCTGCCCACCCCGACGAGCCCCCTCCAAGTCACGGTGACGTCGCAAAGAGGCCACGAGTCACCCCAAAAAGGTGAAGGTGTGGGGAGGAGGGGGATGGGCGTGGGGGGCTGGAGGAGGGGAGGGGGACACACTCACCTCACGGCGAAGCCTCTCCATCTAAATTGGGGGGGTGACCGTCAGATTTGGGGGTTCCCCCCGGCCGGGGGGGACGCGGCGGCCGGCCCGGGCTGGCAGAGCCGGGTGCCCGGCGAGGAGGGACATCCCGGCGTCACCGTGTCCCCTCCCTGGGGACCCCGGGCGGGTCTGTGGGGACAGAGCCGAGCGCAGTCACCCCGACTTTTAATCCCTACGGCGATTCCACCCCGGGGGCGGCCCCTGTGACTCCCCACCCCTCCTCGCCCCCAAACCCCCACCCCACACCGAGGTGCTGCCGCCTCCCACCCCTCCGCCGTCCCCCCACCTTAATCCCACCCCTTGATTTTTTCCA